GAATTATTGCATTTGACGCTGGACAAACGGGCGCAGCGGAAGAACGAGCAGATGTTCGTGGAGCAAAGCAGAAGATGATGAAGAGGACGCAAAGAGCGCGCGCTGGCTTAGTTATTGCTTTGCACGCGCTAGAAACGTGGCAACCATTCATGGTGACGATAGTTTATGCGAATGCTTAAAGGCGTTACGAAAAACCTAACAGCTCCGCAGTACAAGAAAGGTATGTTAGTCTTACATGCGCCTCATACTCATGAATAGATTACTTGAAGAGAAGAGAAACGCCCATATTTATTATATATGGGCGTCCGTACTTTCATAAAAATCCAAAAAATCTGATAAACACTCGCCAGTAAAATAATTTACAATTCAAATTTATCCGATAAACTCCGTCTTTAAACGAGCGTTTTCAACGTTAAAATGGTATTTCCAAAATTGAGAATCATCAATCATCAACTTTCATCCCCGGCAGCAACTTCAGAAAGTATGCTTGCGTCTATTACAACAAGCTTATAAGTGTAGTGTACGAACAAGCGAAGGCGTTCTGTGTTCATGCATATCTGCTTGCGTGTATGTGTGTATGTGCGTTCAAAACTTCCAGATGTATAAAATGCACTTAGTGTGTTCGCATGTATTCGTGGTCGAATATTATATCACAAGGGGCTTCGGAGTACTGGGAATAACGATAATAATAGGTCCTTTAATTTTCATGAAAAAGGTTAGAGAGGCTGGGAGGAAGATCTGAGAACCAACTTTCCTAGCTCCTGGCCCTCAAAAGTACACTTTGGCGAGTGCAGATGAACAACCTCATCAACGGCCGGGATAAATCAGCAACAATTAAATAATAGAAGGATGAAGAAACAGAATTATGAACCACAATAAAACGTATTTTTCATTATTAATTTAGTTAATAAGAACACATTGAAACAACTTACAATGCAAAATTAAACGCCGGATTTCAAAGAATCGGGGATTCATGGGATTTACGGGAATTATGATAACTGCCGAATATTCTTCGGGATAGAATCTCCAAAAACACGATCCAAATTAAGAAAGTGAACTGTGGAAACATAGAGCCCTAATTATATACAATGATTTGGCGACGACAATTTGAGAGCAGTGACGATGATTCAGATCAATAGATGTATAATTAGATCGCAAACTATGCCCTGGAGACATTAGACGAAATGAGAATATGAATCATTAGGTGAGGGCTACTCGTTCACCATTACAAAAGAAAAACGTGTGTGGATACTCTCATGAAAAAATAGATAACTGATTTAAATAAGTTGCGAAGAAAGCTTGCCGAAATGTCGGTGCTACAGTACTCTATAAATACACAACGTAAATATAATTGCTCTGTTTTCATGACATTTTTTCAAGTGCGCGCACAAACTCAAAGTCATTTACAAAATCTCAGTGTGTCCCAACAACTAAAGAAATGCTAAAAGTGCTTCCGTCATCCTTACAATGACCAATTATAGTATAATAATGTCATACCTGGCTCTACAACGTACTATATACCATACATACACATCACCCCAATATACCAAAGGTACATAATAATAATATATCTGTATAATAGTGCCATGCGTGTCTGCAGGATAAATACATGCTCTGTTGTACAGCGCATAGCCTCACCACGGTGGTCTAGAGGCTAAGGTAATCGGCTGCTGACCCGCAGGTAGCGAGATCGAATCCCAGCTGCAGCAGCAGCATTTTCAATGGAGGCGGAATTGCTGTAGGCCCGTGTGCTCAGATTTGGGTGCATGTTAAAGAACCCCAGGTGGTCGAAATTTCCGGAGGCCTCCAGTACGACGTCTCTCATACTCATATGGTGGTTACGGGACCCTAAAGATCACTTATCAATCAATTTGTACAGCGCATATTTGATCATGTCCCTCAAGCGGGCACCGCGACAAGTGTACATGAGGTCATTGCTGGAGTCTTACTTTCCTACCTTTGAATAGCAAAACGTCCCGAGCATAGGCCGGCAAGAATTGTGGAGCTCACTAAGGCTCACTCATGAAATATACCTTGCTCTTAAGACTCATTTGGACTCAGACTTACCAAAATATTACTAACCCAGACTTACTCAGACTCGTGACTCGACTGAGTCTGAGTGAGTCTGAATGAGTCAACTTAGGAGTCCGCAAGTCTAGTATTAGCATTTTTGATCATGGTGTCAATGCAACACCAATATTTCACGTAATCGGTACTTTTGTGATTTATTTATTTATTTATTTATTTATTTATTTATTTATTTATTTATTTATTTATATGTAGGGTTTACCGTCACAAAACCACCACATGATTATTAGAGATGCCGTGGTGCAGTGCTCCGGAAATTTCGACCACCTGGTGTTCTTTAACGTGCACCCAAATTAGAGCACACAGGCCTACAACATTTCTGCCTCCATCGGAAATGCAGCCGCCGCAGCCGGGATTCGATACCGCGACCTGCGGGTCAGCAGCCGAGTCCCTTGCCCAATAGACCACCACAGCGGGGCAGTTGGTTCTTTTCTTGGCGCCTTTTGATATGGTACCTCCGAATAAGAGTTATGAGTAGTTGTAAACCAACAGAAATATTTTTATTAAAAGAGATCACAACCTAAGATATATATTATCAAAAACGTCCCCGGAAAAGCTGGTGGAGGGGGGCACAAGACATCACCCTACGCATTTCATGCCTCTAATTAATAAATATTCAAATCGTGTATGAACGATACTTTTTTGGAATACTTGCGAGTAGACGTGAGTTTAAACATGAATTCCGGTAATGCTCATAGTTATGCTGAAGCTGAGTAGATGGGATCATACAGTTGAGTTTCGGCACAAATTCGCAAGATGTGATCCTCTCGACGGCACGTTTATTTCCCCCTTTAACCCACCATGGTGGTCTAGTGATTATGGCACACGACTGCTCAGCCGCCGGTCGTGGGACCAAATCCCGGCCGCGGCGACCGCGTTTTTGATGGAGGCGAAAATGCTAGAGGCCTGTGAACTGCGATTTGGGAGCACGTTAGAGAACGCCCGGTGCCAGAAATTTCGGGAGCCCTCCACTACGGTGTCTCTTATAATCATAGGTTCATTTGTAGGCATTAAACCCTGTAGATTATTATTATTTGCCGGCATTCAGTACTATTTTCTATTTCATTTTAATTATTAATGAACTGTTGAACGATTTTCAATTTGTGAAAAGTAAGTGACAGGATACCCATATAGCCATATACACATAAGCCCAGAACCTCCAACTAAACTACGCGATGAAATATCTACGCCATCATACGTACTGTTTATCCACTCTACGAAAAAAAAGAAAAAAAAGAACAGTCCTTTGGCTTCTTTCGGGCAGTACTGACGTGCTACCAATATGTCTCTCTTTAATAAGTCACGGTGAATTTTTTTTGCAGGTTGTTTTACTCTCTTCTGAGAGTAAAGTGACAGACAAGAAAATCAACGTGCCTCTTTCAAAAGTGTCGTATACGTGGCTCGTCAGTACTGCCCTAAGGGAGTCACACATACTCTTTTTTTATAGTGTACTTCGAGACATTCGGGCTCATTTGTGCGCGAGTCTTTCTGTGTGTCAAAGGGCTTTGCTTAGCCTGGACTTGTACATGGATATTGAACTCCCAGTGCACAAAAGTGTGCTGTTCTGAAGACGTCCTTCCTGGAATGCCAAGCGGGAGCAGATTCTCTCAATCTGTATGAAGGCAACAACACTCGCAACAGGTGTACAAACTAATAATTACAGCCACTTAAAACATATCTCAAACGTTCAGTGATTTTCACGCCATTTACTTTCATCTCGGAATGTTTTATGGGACCGAAACATACTTTTTGAGCTGTAAGTGCAGCCGCAACGAGTTGCTCTCAAGCAAGAAACAATGATTTGATCAAGCGAATTGTATTCCGTGTCGTCTTTAGTACGTGTACGCACTGAGCGAACTTAAAATGGCGCCTTTCGAATAATAAGTGCTCTATCATCATCATCATCATCATTGTCATCATCATCATCATCATCATCCTGACTACGTTCACTGCAGGACAAAGGCCTCTCTCATCATCCGCCAATCAGCCTCGTCTTGTGCTTTCAGCTACCACGTTATATCTCCGAACTTTTTAATATCATCAGCCCACCTAACTTTCTGTCTCCCCTTCGTGCGTTTGCATTCTGTAGAATCCAGTCCGTTACCCTTAATGACCAGCGGTTATCCTGCCTACGTGCTACGTTTCCGGCCCATGTCCATTTCCTGTTCTTGATTTCAACTATGATATCCTTAACCCCTGTTTGTTTCCTGATCCCTTCCACCCTTTTCTTGTTTCTTAAGGTTACACCTATCATTTTCTTTTGCATCGCTCGCTGCGTTGTATTCAATTTTTGTCCTTTGTAAGCCTCCAGGTTTCTGCTCCGCAGGTAAGTACCGGCAATATGCAGCTGTTATATACCTTCCTCCTGAGCGATAGTGGCAATCTACCAGTCATGATTTGAGAGTGCTTGCCCAATGTGCTCCACCCCATTCTTAATTTTCTAGTTACGGCAATCTCGTGGTTCGGCTCCACGCTTATTATCTCTTCTAAGTAGAGGTTGTATTTAAGAACTTCAAGTGTACTTTTACCTATCTTAAGGGCTGCTTTCTTCCGAGGCTGTTGTACGTTAGTTTCGTTTTATACTGATTAATTTTAAGACCTACCTTTCTGCTCTCCTTGTCTAATTCTGAAATCATCAGTTTTTATTCATACCCTGAGCAATGCAATGTCATCAGTGAAGCGCAGGTTACTAAGCTACTCTCGAAATAGCATTGGGGAGATTGTATCCCCCTGTCTTACACTTTTCTTGATTAGTATTCCGTCAATTTCTTTATGGAGCACTATGGTGGCAGTTGATCCTCTGCAGATTTCTGCCAGGATGTTTATATACGATCATTCAATTGTCGGAGAAAGCTTAACATTGATTTGTTGTCCTGCACTGCCACCTCACACCCATGTCCCATTCGTTGCAGGTGCTGACCAAGGACTCTGTGACCGTGTCGGTGGACGCAGTCGTGTACTACCGGGTGCACAATGCGGCGGTGTCCGTCGCCAACGTGGAAAACGCCCACCACAGCACCCGCCTGCTCGCACAGACCACGCTGCGCAATATTCTGGGCACCCGGAACCTGCACGAGATTCTCGCCGATAGGGAGCAGATATCCAATGCAATGCAGGCAAGGCTCGAGCCTCGAGGTTGTAAATACTTGGACATATTTCGCCCGTGGGGATCACTGAAAGAGCGTGCAACGTGCACTTTGTACTGCTCTCTTTCACGGCTGTGCCTTCCGAGAGAAGTCTGCTCGCTATTACAAGCTACGTGTTTTTAAAACAATAGTCGTTGTCGGTCGTGCTTCGGTTACCTGTTGGTAAAACGAGCTCATAGTTTTTGTGTGGCGAATGCTGTGCTACGCTGACAGCGCCTGCGGTGTTCGCGACTTGAATACACTCAGCACGCAGAGGTAAACGAAGGCAGACACGCAGTATGAAGATATGTTATTGTTCGTCTCGAAGTTATTCTAACAACTGAAAGGATAAGGGTAGCTGGTGCCCAGACACTCTGACCGCAACTTCATGGCTTATTTGTTTATTTCAACAACAACCACAACAAAAATAAAAACATCCCAGGATGTCAAATTTTCTTAGTTTGTAGACTTATAGGTGATAAATATTGTCTTAAAACCGCATGATTGAGAGGAAGAAAGTTAAACCACAAATGTAGAATGACAATGTAACAGCAAGGCGTGACAATAAAAAAAATTCTGACGTATAGTAACCACTGTACAAATCGATGTCGTTCGAAGCCTTCAGCGAGGAGCTGGAGGTGTCGCATTGAGACATTCTTCACGAGGTAGATTGATGTCTTTGCGTAAATTTGGTAGTTCGTATAACGGCGGCCTGTCATGCAACTCGATGACACTGCGACGTTTGTGGGGTGGCCTACAAACCGACTTAGCGTCGGTGCTCACATCAGGCGCCTAGACGACAGTCTTATAAAAGTGTAATTTACGTTACCGTACGCTGGTGTGCACATCCTAAGCAGCGTTCACTCACTTATTCTTGTGATGCCGAGCAACTCCAGACAAACATAAGTTCAAGTACATTTACACTGTCACTACTTCGAAGGTATGTTATAACAGGAGAAAAACGCCCATAATGCTCATAATTCATTTTGAAAACTGTGCGGAATAACAAGGTCCAAGAACAGTCCCTCAAGAAAGTAAAGGACTCTACACGTTGACCCACGTTGGCCTGAAAGCGTACAAGGCAACTTCGCGTGCGGGATGTGCTCACCTCTTTCACAGTAGCCACGTGAACTGAGCGGTTCAACGCTCTCTATTTTGTGTAGTAAAAGATTCATAAAGGTCGCACCTAGCGAAAGTTGATGTTTAAATATTTTCAATGTTTATATGTACCTGCCTGTAAGTTTACAGAAAGGGGACAGGGTCCTCTGCATATCGAAAGATATTTTCACTGCACCGTTGAATTACGCTGTCGAAGGCCATTCAGAGTGCATGCATTGCATGCTCTTTTGTGTACTTCAAACTTCTGTTGGGCCTGGTTGGTACATAGATTTTAAAGGGAAAACTTCATCACAATACTTCACAGACCACACAGAATAGTTGAGACACGCATCGGCGCTGACTAACAACTGCTTTGTTTTTCTTGAATCACTGCATACAAATGCCAAAACCAGATAATGCTTTCATGCATACGTATAACAAAACATACTGCGCGTCCTTCCGAATATGAAATCATGCATGTGCATCTTCGTTGACATCTCAGTTTTAAGGCAGTACTATTTTGCATGCGCGTGCAAGTTGATGTGGTTTGTGACATATATATGCGTTGTTTAAAGAAGAACAAAGCATTTGTTAGTCAGCGCCGGTGCTTGTCTCATTTATTCTGGGTGGTCCGTCTTGGGTTGCCCTGAAGTTTTCTTCTTAAAAGTCTTTTGTGTGTGCCTTCGGTTTCTTCCATTGATATTTTGTCCGATGTTTCTGTCGCCACATTAGTATAAATAATAATCATAGTGGCCCATTAAACTTTAATCTTTAAATATTGTTCTTCAGTTTGTGTAACAATTTTGATGTTTATTTTATAGCAGCCATTGCGCTATAGCCTTTTTTGGCAAGTCAGAGCTGGTCAGACCGTTTTTTTAGTGTGGTTTTACATCCATCAGCTTAATGAACAAAACGCGAAAGTAAACATTGAAAATTTGATGAAACGATGCTTGCTCAAGTGCACACAAAAATCAAGACCCTCACCCATTTTGTACTTGCTGATTGGGCTATTATTTCACGATGCAAAACCTTGCAGGCCGTGCAAACAAGGAATCGAGTCATCAAATGACGCATTCTCATTTCTGTGGCTTTTGGATCTTTGTGCGAAAAAGTCACATCTTTTTTGGCCATTGCAAATTCATTCTTACGTCTACCGTTAGCCCAAACAAAAAAAAAAGATGTGTCATTGACGAGGTTGAGAATTTTTATCCTCTTGAAAGCATAATTTTATTTTCTCCGGCAGAGCGCCCTGGACGAATGCACCGATGCTTGGGGCATAAAGGTAGAGCGGGTGGAAATGTGAGTAAAAAAATACTAACTATTCTGTTTTCTGTGTGCGATCAGTGAAATGTTTTTCAACGGAGGTTGGCATAGCGGTAGTGTCATTTTCTTTTAATGTGCCTTTGTTTCTGTTAATGGAGGCAAAAATGCCGTAGGCCCATGTGCTCAGATTTCGGTGCAGGTTAAAGGAGCCCAGTTACTCTAAATTTTTGGAGCCCTCCACTACGACGTCTCTCATAAACATATGCTGGTTTTCGGACGTTAAATTCTACATATGAACCAATAAGTTTGTTTCTGTTAGTAGATGTCCATCAGGGCTTACTAAGGCACTGCGTATGCACGTTATATGCAGCTTAAGTTTGGGCTAGATGTGGAGCACCATGAAATTTTGGTTGGCATGCGCCATACTGCTGCGCAGGTCAATTTAATATTTCACAGTGGAGTCCGACGGGAACCAAGTTTTATTGCTGTTGTTGTTGTGGTGCGTTGAGCTCGTAGGCTGGCTTCATTAAATATTTTTTCGCCCGAGTGTTATTTCTGACAATAGTGACATGTGTGCTGTTTATTGTGTTATTTTGCTTTGTAACGTGGTCACCTTTTCTTGTGGGAGGGTAACGTATATTAATTGGAAAGATGAAAAAGATTTTTTGAAGTTTGTTACAATGGAATAAAAGCGGTGGATTTTATTGTTTCATTCACTTCGCTTTCGCGTTTTTGCGTGAGTAAGGTGTCGGTAGGAGAGGGGGTGAACAACAAGAGGGAAGGCAGGGAGGTTAACCAAGCACATACCCGGTTCGCTACCCTACGCTGGGGGAATGAAAAGGGGGCTTAAAGATGAGAGAGAGAGAGGAAAGAGAAGAGAGAGAAAAAAAAACAAAAAAGGAGGATTGTCAGTCAATCGGCTGGCGCGTATGCAGCGGTGGCACTACACAAAAGTTAAAGGTGGTCACGTAGGCCTGTAGTCCTCAAAAAGCACAAGACAGCTTTGACTACTTACTGAGCCGACAAAAGGAGAGGATGGTGTTCGAGTAGCATCTGCACAGAGAGTGGCCGATCGTCCAACTGTCACAATGCGTCCGAAAGCTTCTGTCTTTCAGAGGCAAATCGAGGGCAATGACATATCAGATGGTCGATGTCTTCTTTGGTGCAGAAGACGTCGCATTCCGCATTGTCGGTCAATCCGATGAGGGTCCTATATGCTTTTGTGTAGGCAACCCCCAATCAAAGGCGACAAGTTAAAAAAAAAAAGTGGGATTCTATAGTTGTATGAACTTGTGCTCTCAGCCGGTATTTCTAAATGCAGCAGAAGGTAGACATAGTGCTATGTAGCGATTAGTGTTATTTACACTGCGTTGGAGCTCGTGATAGGGGCAGTATAAAGAATAAAATGTATGCCCTTAATGTTTTTTTTTTTTACTGGAAACTTCAGTTGAGCATCGGAATGATTATTAGCTCATCTGCCTATTGTCCCGCTACGCCTCTCTCTTTTAACATTTTTTTGTTCTCCAGTCAATGTGCTTTTGCTTTGTTTCACAAATCTGCAGCAAGGACGTGCGTTTACCGGTTCAACTGCAGAGAGCCATGGCCGCCGAAGCTGAGGCTGCCAGAGAAGCACGAGCAAAGGTAAAGGGCCTTCTTGTTTCGTCCAAACGGACACATAGCGAGTACAGCCAGCACGAAGAGCGTCTCGAAAGCGTCCCGCGTGCAACAAGGTCAAGCGGGGACGGAGCTTTTTGCCTGCGCTTCATGCCAGACGTCGCTTTCAGCGCTCCCTGTAGCTCCCCGAAATGACGCTGACGTGACGACAAAGGTTTATGACGGTGTTCCCGCTCGATCTGCTTCGGGAATCCTCTCCAAACAAGAGCGGTCTGGGGATTCTTCTTTGTGCCGTCGCCACTGGGCCTCGTTCTCATCCGACCTGACAAACTCGATGACAGGGCCCGCCCCGGAAGGTGCCCATTCCCATGCAAAACGCGAAGCCCTCTCGGGGGTGACCATTTGAACGGCTTTTTCGTAACGTGACTGTGCTTCCTAATGGTTTTCTCCGGAGCGCCTCAAAGCCCCGGACCGGCGTGCATGAACGTGCCGCCTGCTGCCGCGGACGGAAGCGCACATGCCTTGGATCTGCGCGACACCCTCTCTCCCTCGTCCCCTCCCACCCAACACAAACCCTTTGCAGCAGTCGAGATTTGTCCATCGTTAGGCCTAATGAAGGTGTCCGCCGGCTGTTAGCGGCTTGCAGCCTCTAGTATGCTATTATTGGTTTCCATTTCGGCGTTTCCTCCTTCTTCGGTTGATACGGCGAAATAGCGCACCGAGGAGCTACTTCCGAACGTGCTAATGCGGCTGGCTGCCGCCCGGGTAATCAGCGCGCTTCGTAACTGCTTTCGCAGAGGCCTAACAAGCTTTGCAGTGCGGCAATAGGCCGGCCGCATTTCTTTCGAGCTGCAAACGGCCATCGAAGGGCCGGCTGGTCCGACAAATTGCTTCGCCGAGTGCTTGTTGCCGTTCGGAATTCATAACAGAAACAAATGGCCCACTGTTATCGCCTCACCGCCGGAAAGAAGGCGGGGTAACACGTGGCCACTCTCTTCCAAGCCGCCCTTTTATATGCGCCCGTTTACTTTTGTCTGATCGGCCCTGAACGGCGTGGTCGCTGCCGGCCAACCGGAGAAGAGGGTACCGTTGCCGCCTCAACTGAGCTCTTTTGCCATACCACGTGACACTCTTTCATTTATAGGCCGAGCACCCTTGAGCTTTCTCTTCCCTTCTTTTCTCCTACCGTGATAAAAATTTAAAGCTTCAAGGGAGACTTAGTAGAACAGTGCAATTAATATTATCCTGCAATCGATTAAAAAATCAATAATAGTTTTGTCTTCGCACCACTCTCAATGCCGGATACGTCTATTTTGTAGTTTTTCCCGCCCAGCTTGACGCCACGATTAACGGTTTCTCTAAGTAGTGCGATTAAAAATATTCTTTGGTTGTTCGGCACCTTTTGGCAACGCCTTCTATACCTTAGAACTTTTGTATTAGGTGAACGTTTTCAATTACTTACTTTTAATAATGCCGGTGCTTGACATTCTGGCACGGGGACATTCCTCATGGGATTTACCCTGACTGTCCACAGTCATATCAGTTTACTTCATTAGTTCATGACAGCCAGCGGAGGAATGTAGTCTCATGACGTATGCGGCTCTTTATGAGAGCTCATATATGTGTAAATCGGTACAGTCGTGTTTGCTACATGAAAAGTAATACCGTTGCATGACTGCTGAACGACATATTTCAATTTTGGATACATATAACACCAACTTATTAAAGCTTTCAAGGCAAAAAAAAAATGAGCGTGAGGGCAGTCGCGCCTACGTCTTTGTGTCATTTGCTGTTCCACTTGCCTCAGCTGTCATTTTTTATGCATTATTTATTGTGTTTTGCAGTGATACTCTCATATAACTTCCCCATCAAAAACTAGGGCAGGGAGATGATGCCTCATTTCATGTTAAGAACATACATGTATTGGAACACACTGGAACCACAGCAGTAGTCATTTTTCTGGGTGTGAGCATTTTGATTCTAGTTTGTAGTGAGCATGTTCCTTTAACTATGAAAGAGTACAACGCACAAAAAATGTCCACGGTGTGCAATCGTCATTGATGCATAGTAATTCATAAATTTTCCTGCATTAGACAAAATACTGAGCAAAGTGCATGACATAGCCGCCTTCCTGATGAAGTGGCTATATCTGTACGCCTCTCAAAACCACTACTTGACAATTTTTTATTCTTGTCGATTCTTTCGATAAGATATTTTCACCGCTTATACAGAGTGCCTTCAGGTTAAAACGTTACCCCATCTCCTCCCAAGATTTACCTTCTAGAAGTTTTGAATAAGTATCGTAAAAGAACGAATCATCTCCAAGCTGGGTTTGCGTGTCTGCTTATATATCGGCAAACTCATAAATTGCCCATATTTACATATTTTCGACTCTCGTATTGTTGCACTTGTGAAGTCAGCGGTTTGTAACAATGGAAGTGTGCACCGGCAGTAGTCGAAAGCATCGATAACTAACTGCATTAACTTTCTTTAAAATTATAGCGTAAATTTGCGAAATATAAACGTAAATTATTCTTGCAAATTACGTATTGTCGTTTATCTAATCGGTGCCGGTTGTTTAGAATTGGCACATAGTTTTTTTCTGTTCTCTTAGATTCGTGTCATTAGTGCTTGCCAGTCCCTATTTCTTGGCTGGAAGAAAAGTAAAATAAAACAGGATGAGAGATAGGCTTTGCGAAATAACAAAGGCAACAGCTGGCCTTCCGGATTTATGACCAGATTAGTTCGACACCTAGGCAAGCAATAACATGCACTCTCGACACATGTCAGTAATACGCGAGAAGGGTTACTATAGGAGCAGGTCCAATCTTTATGATGGACGAGTTGATAGTGGGGGTGGCCGGCTAATGGCAAACAGTTCTTACAAAAGGCCGAATGCAGCCTCTTGTCGGCGGCTGCTTGTAGCGGTCGGTTGCCAAGAGGTGGTGGGGGACAAGGCTCACAAAGCATCGCGTCTTTTCTGTGTGCGCAGTTGATTGCCGCCGAAGGAGAGCAGAAGTCGTCTCGAGCTCTGAAAGAGGCCGCGGACGTGATGTCCCTAAGCCCGGCCGCCCTGCAGCTGCGCTACCTTCAGACACTGAATACCATTTCCGCCGAGAAGAATTCCACCATCATCTTCCCGCTGCCCATAGATTTCCTCGCCTGCTTCATGCCTGACAAGAAGAAGCACCGCGCCATGGATGCGGACCCGTAGTGGGCCCGGCGTTCGTTCGAATCGACCGAGAGCTTTGTAAACGCGTCGAACCGGTTCGTATGGCCCGCTGATGGCGGCTATAAAAGGTCGGGCCTCCGCCACTTGTATCCTCCCAGCGAGTGTTGGGGCCAGTGCACCATCGTTTGTTACGCTGTTGTTGCTGCACGCGTGCTTGACAGAAAAGTTACAGAGTGGCGCGCATTGTTTGACGACGAGAGAGAGACATGCAGTTAAAGTGTGCATAATCTGTTGTTTGTTGACTGGCGATGGGCCATTTACATTCGCTCTCACGTGTTCACAAAGCATAACTTATGAGAGCGCAAGTTGTTTTTGGATGCTGCTACCGTACGTTTTCAGATGTCCCTTACTTGCTCACTTTAAAAATACAGGGCGCGAAGTCCACGTGCTTTATTCCTCAGAGCAAAAAGAAAAAAAAACATGTTTTAAGGCATACGTGGGGAATCGGATAGCTTGCGATGCACGTTTTACGTCTTACACTTCGTCACTTTCTTACTTATTGAATGAAAATATGTAAACAGTGAAAATAACATAATTTTTTAAACAAAAGGGCAGAACTAGTGAGTGGTTTGTATGAAAACGATAAATTCACGTCAAGAAAGGAACCACCAAAAACTTGCCCTTTTAACTTTTCCTGAATAGGATGTGGAACCGTACGACGAAAAAAAAAAGCAGTATGTGGCGGGCCACATCTCTTAAAGCAATTGCCTGCTGTTTCCATGTGGAGGTAAAAAAAGAATGTTGCAGTGTTCAGAAAATGAAAATCACTCCTATTTATAAAAGCTATTAACACAAAACTTTCACTCAATAAGCCTGAAACAACACCGCAGTGCAACTATAGCAAAAGAAAAAGAGAAAGAGAGAGAGGAAACGAAAAACAAGTTTATATACCTAAGCAGTGATAGGAGTCGGGACAACTGCGACTCGTCTAATATGGCATTGTTGTTTAAGTACTTTGGGGTGATAGCTTAAAAAATAACACTGACACTGTTATGTTAGTTGAGGGAGGTGAAAGGAATTGAAACACCGCGACATAATTTTCAACATGGAATTTTTTATTTTTTTATTAATTCGTTCTTGCAAGAAGTTTATCTTGAACTATAGCAATGAATTTTACAATAAATTTGGCAGCATCCGCGCCTCAGGTAAGGTAAGACACCGAAACAAAATATGCATTACTAGTATATGATGGTTGCCTTCTCACTGGTGATTCATCCATGTCTTTCTCTTCGAAGCACTTTCGTTGTAGCAACATTATCCACTCGCTTGGCCTGCTGTGCCATCATAAGAGCAGGTGCACACTTTGTCGCCACTTGCATGAGCACACCGCACACAAACATACACACTGCCTGTGTGGTGTGCAGCACACCGCCTAGGGACGCGGGGAGATGGCCGATGATGACTGTCACGCAAGAAGCATCCCGAAGGAACTTTACCCTGGAGTTCGCGGGAAGACGGGGAAGGCTGAGGGGCGTGTAGGTAATAAAAAGGGGTCGGAGAAAGCTCCCTTACCGCCCCCATCCGCTGAAGGTAACGTCCGGCTGCTGATACTGGAGCCCACATTGCCGGGCTACTCCGCGAGCGTTTCCACGAAGACGGCGGCAGCGGCGAGTGCCATCCGAGCCCCTCCGTGGTCGGCGAGGCCAGTTGGATAAAGCCGAGCCCTTGAACGCACGCGCAGTTTTCCCCTCTGGGCGTGAGTGGCGGGCGCGCTGTTAGGTGTGCGCTTGCCGCGCCAGCGCTGCTGGACTGGTCACCGCACTCTCTTGTAGCACTCTAGCCCACTTGGGGCTTATAATGAGGTCTTAAACTGCAGTCGCTAAACTGAAAAGCCTTGCGTGACGGTATGGCGCCAGGCGCCAGAGACAGCGCCTGCGAGCTAGAGAGAATTAACGTTTCCGTACCCTTTAGTGAGGCTTAATTATGAGCCTCTTTACAATGTAACCGAACAACCTGGTGATTACTTTGTAGGTCAACAAGGTGAGAACGAAGCTTCTGCGTTGAAAAGATGTTTCAGTACACCGCTAGTTGTCCCGCAGTTTCTCCAGATCACAGCTCCATGTCAAATTAACTCTAATCAAGATGTAAGCACTTTAATCGACAAGGCAGATTGCATATTCAGCTGTAAAGGTTATTTTATTTCCACGCATACTTACAGTACTGACAGATAATGATGTTCAGGAGCGCTTCATTTAGAGTTTTCAAGTTTGTGCGATAATTCATCACCTTTGTCATCACCGTTTCTCTGTATTTCCTGGCAACTACTTTGGTTCGTGTACTTCTTATAGGGAAAGCAAACAGTGCAGTTTCATCAAAAGGAATAAAAATGACATGGTGCAAGCCTACGAAGTTTTCCATCCCGCGACGTCGAATGATATTTAGAGAACGGTGCGACCATTCTGGCAGCGTTGGCTTCTACCTAACTTTCACTGTCCTCTGCTGCCCGTCGTCCAGAAAGGGAAGGCTCCTTTACACAGCTTACTACACGACGTGTCGTGCATACCGCACTGCCACCTACTGAGTGCAATGCCTTTTTCTATGAAACATTACGAGTGCGAAACTGATTACACGTGCAGCGAAGAACTCTTGAGTTACTGGCGACCGCGGGCAATCTGCATGTAGTAACCACTAGTAAGATGGTCATGGCGAAAACAATCGGTTAACTAGCTTGCTGAAACTAAATCAGACAGCATAGTGATTATTCGCCATCTAGTTATTAATAGACCTCATTAGCGGCCTATCACGGCTAATTGGTAAATAAAAATGTTTACTCGCAAAATTCTTTTCGAATATGACCCAAAGTGGTAATCGAAAAACTGCTTGTGATACGCTCTCTGCAGCATAAACTTCCTGCTTGACGGAACACCTGTTGAGCTAATCAGGCCGTACAATTTATCACTTTAAATAAATGTGAGCCCGTTGTCGGAGTTACTGTGTGGGGGGGGGGGGGGGGGGGGGGGGTCAGCTGATGTTTCGAAACACCCGTGGAAAATGGTACAAAGTTCTAGAACGTATCGAGCAAATTGCCGCGCGACGCCACTGATTCAAGTTTGAGCGAATGAAAAAAAAAAAAAAAGGAGAAACTGCCTGCGACTTGCAACACCACCTAGGAGCAAAGGAACGTGCCATGCGTGCCAGGAAGCAATTTTGTTCCGCTGCTTCCCCGCAGCAGTCGTCGAATTCAGACGGTCCTGCGACGAGCGAGCGTTTACATCCGACGCGATCGCGCGCACCGCATGCACCCTCCGACTCCAGCATAAGATTTTTTTTTTCCCTTCGTTATATTCATAGCTGTGAGAATCGCGATCGTGTATACTTCAACGATTGACGGTATCTATAAACTCTACCGGTAGGAAAGGATGTCAGAGAGAGCAAAAATATAATCACAACACGCGGTAACTTTCGTAGCCCAACGCGTGAAGTAACTTTTGTAAACATATAGTGTTTAGATATGAGGTATATCTTCGAGAGCTAATTCAGTAGGAATAGAATGATCTGTTGCTGTCACAGTTCGTTAATTTGTTGGACCACGTAGAGTGATCTGAAATTAAAAAGTAGACGACGTCCCGCAGAACGTTTTCAATTTTTTTTTTACATTCGTATGAGAAGGGCAAGCCAAGCTGGTGAGTTGATTTATTGAACTTTGTTCTCGAACAATAATCTCGGCTCAGATATCACGGTTACTGTTAGGAACTCTTTACTAGAGTGCTTAAAACTTTCGAGCACAGCCATTTTATTGAACTACGTGTTACTCATTCTAGTTAGACGTGTTGGTTTATATGTTGAGGCCCAGCTGCTTCTTCAAAAGAAAACACGTGTAAAGGGAAACTGAGAAGCGTCGACATTAGCGCGTGTTTCCACCAGGTTCAGAGAAAAAATACTCTGGTATAGTTCAGTAAAAGAAGTATTAAATTATGTGGTTGCATTTCTTAGTGACAGCTTGAGCCCTACACAATACTAGTTTTTGAAGGCCAACTGTTCCGTCATTCGCAGGCGTAGGTTACACATCTCAAGAACGGGCCTTCTGTCCTACCGGTGGCCGCCTGAATGATGCAATAGTTAAAAAAAAACGCGTATTCAAAGTATTACATTCTTACCTTCATGTGAAATCGTAGTGTTGTCGAGGTTCTCTTTGTGCCTATTAACCCGACATCGTACTTGATACCTATATAGGCTCGGACAGCAAGAATAAGAAAACAAGCTTTGTTATTACGGTGGGTAAGTGTTCTCGCGCCCCTTTTCTGTTTTTTTCCTTCGCTATTGATGTATGTCTCGTTCCTCATTGCAGGAAAATTATGCCTAAATCCGCAGACCACAGTATTCATCTGCTCACTGCTTCATATATTTATTTGGCAGATTATCTAGATTACGCAACCAGCTAGAAACATATAGATAGACCTATGAGACAACAAATAGCCCGTGAGGACAGGTCCTCTAATATGCCGTAGCAAGAGTTTTTGTGACGCGCGTGTGTGTCTCTAATGAAAGCACGAATACTTCTCTGATTGTATGTAGTTTGTAAGTATACATCTACCTGCTTGTCATATTGCACGTCAGCAGCTTATTAACAATGTGCACGGGAAAATAACAAAAAAAGAACTCTATTTAACAGTTTCTATAGGCAAAGTCTCTGCTAACCATGAAAAGTATTTTTGTAGTCCAACATATCCATGAATTAACCCGACTGCATTTATTCCGCGTTCCTTAGGTGAAATAAGTTATAGCACTGAAAATGCCTCAGCGCTAGCTGCAATTCAATATTATATTTCATTCAAGTGGAATTTTGAACACGAAAGCAAAAAATTAATAGATCGAAGCTCTTTACTTTCGCTACAAACGGTCAGTTATCAGCTTTTCACGGAAAGTTTGTTTTGAACTGTCATTCAATAGTTTCATCCTCCAGGGAATGGAGGCCGAACTTTATGGGAAATAGGACAATACGAGCACGAAGCTGCGACTGCAGGTATGGCTACAAATAAATTGCCCTAATTTACCTACGGAGCGACGGCAGCTTCAATTTGGCGCGGAAGTGTGTTCGTGTAACATCGTGGAACATTGTATAAAAACAATAGGAATAAATTGAATCAAACAAAAGTGATGGAATATCACGAAGATTATGCTATATCTAGACGGCATGAATCATTGTCGTTTGTGTGAAATACGCATATACACGCAACAAAGACAGTATGCGCAACTGTATATACAGATGGCACCACATCGACATCGTTCACTTTTATTGATATGCAAGTAGAGCTACGCCCTCTGTGTGGAAAGAGGAGAGTAGTGGAGAGGAAGTTCCTCTTTCCTTTGGCGTCATGCTCGAATCCTGCGCTTCGGAGGCATTCCTTCGCAGCGTTAACTGTGTGTAGCGTCAGCTGCTGCTGTTTTTGCCTGTAAACGTGTTGTTTG